GGACAATTTGCTTCCTCTTCCAGAGATAAATCAAAATAAAAGGAAAAGAAAACAACACTAAGAGAAATACCTATCCAGAGGTAAATTGCAGTGGGAGCAAAAAGGTTTTATCATGTCAGCTATATCAAAGTCTGAACAGAAATATTTACCCCAAGAACTGGAGAATTCAAAAGCACATTCCTGGTTTACCTTGTCAATGCTTTGCTTTTCCATTTCCCAATTTTCTGGCTGGTGTCTCCCAGCCAACCCCCATTCCCACAGCCTGCCCTGGCTGCTGATGAGGACTCCTGGTCTCCCAGTCTGATGGAGCAGAAGCCTTGGCTCATTGGTAAGCCAGCACATCCTTTACACAGGAATATGCTTTATTCAAGATATTTACATGGACATAGCAGTATTTCAGAAGACTAGAGAACAGCCTGCAAATGTTCACCTCCAAGCTCTTTCTTGCTTTAAGATAGAGGTGTCTGCCCTATCTTAGGGGACAGGGATCCTGGTGTCCCAGAGGGCTGTGCTGAGAGGGGCAGGAAGTTGAGCACCAAACCCCAGGGCTCACCTAAGACAATCTGCTGCTCAGACAAACCAGCTGAGAACATTTATCATGACCAATAGATGTGGAGATCCAAGCAGCCAGAAACAAACTCTCCTGATAACTCTCCTGATGATCACTCCTGGTAACCAGGTTGCTTCATATTAAGCTGTTCAGAAAGAGAGAAATGGTGCAGTTGGGATTACAGACCCTTGCCAATGACACCTTGGAATATAAACCACCTCAGGGTGATCAGCCACCACATGCAATCAGGCACTGTGCTCATCAAAATGCTACCCAGGGAAATAAACTGGTTACTTATTAAATCAGAGTTTATATTGATGCAGAGGAAGACAAACATATATTTGGCTTTTTGTGTGGTGGGAAACATATCCAGGTAAAGAAACTCTATGAAGATTGTGCCCTTGGTGCATTACTTTGGGATATGACTCTATACCACACAAAAGCCTACTGATTTTTTGTTGCTTTATTATAGTTCATGAACCAACAACCAGCAAGTGTTTTCCCCAAACGCCTGGCAAAAGCCAAAAACAACACAAGAAAGGGTTTTGCAGGTGAAAGTGCCAAAAGTTGTGCTGGTAGGTGCAGACCTGATTTAAAGTCAGGTTTAAAGGGAGGAAATCTCTAAGCAGGTGTTTTTGTACTCAGAAAATAAAAATTAAGATACATAGATTATTTATTGAAGCTTCTATAAATGGAGTTAATCTAGAGATATGTCTGGATATGTACCAACTTTACATAATTTTAGATCATTGAACAAGTTTGTTAATGATTTCTTAATGGAACTTTTATTTTAGCAAGTGCTAAACAGTGTTACAGAGGAGAAATATGCAAGTACCAAAGCAGAGGAGGCCTCATGTGTTATCCTTCCATAGAGGAATTTTGTACTAACATAAATCAGCAAACAACATTAAAAAGTGAGCTTATCAATGTTATCTCAGTCTTACTACTTCTAGTGATTTTCTTAAGTTAAATTTATCATTAGCTATTTTTATCCATGGAAACAGGTGTATTTATGGAATCAATCTGTGATACAGTATTTATTTGGTTTCTTACTATGATTTGTTTCAAAATTAATTTAAGATCTCATGAACAATAACCAAGCTTTTAAGCATGAGTTGTCCTGTTTCTATTTTGCTATGTGTGGAATTCATGCATTGCTCTTTTCTATCACCCCCTACATGCACTGGAACTACCTCCAAATTTTGGTCTAATTTTCTTTTTCATTGTGAGAGTCTATTATCTAATTATTTAGTACTTACCAGCAGATAAGACATTAATTCTACATTTATTTGACAGTTATTATTCCATTTTAGGAACCCAGAGATACTTGATAATAAATAACTAATGATATTTTAAAAAGGCAGAGCTCTCTAATAACTGTCTGCATGGCACATGTATCCAATTCCTGATTTATCTGCTAATTTTCAGTTACTTTTTTTAACCCAAGCAGAATAAAATAGCATTTAGACAGTATCTTAGATGAGCCGTTTACTGCACTCCAATCCCTTTGTGCTGGGACAGAGTTAATTTGGGTTAATTTTTGGCTGGGACAGAGTTAATTTTCTTCCCAGTAGCTGGGATGGGACCATGTTTTAGATTTGTGCTGAGAACAGAGCTGATAACACAGGGATGTTTTCATTGCTGAGCAAGGGTTACACAGAGCCAAGGTCCTTTCTGCTCCTCAGCCCCCAGAGAAGGGCTGGGGACACAGGAATTGGGGGGACACAGCTGACCCCAGGGACAGCCAGACCACAGGGCACCATGCTCAGCAGATGAAGCTGTGGCAGGACAGTAGCACAAATAAGAATGAACATGCCTCTCTCTGTACATTTGTCTGCACAATAATCTAGCCATTGACCCAAACAACTGCATTTTTCATGGCTTCCTTTAGATGTTCAAATTTTAGCCAGGATCTGACACGGTACCAAAGAGCTTTACAAACTGGGTGCCTTCAGAGTTCACCAGCTCTGTAGCTGCTTTTGGCCTTTGTTAAGCTGTCTCTTTCCATTTGCACTCCAGATTTCAGCTGTGTGCTGTGCATTCTATTTAATTACACAGAGACAGGATGCATGAGGCACTAGGCTCCATCAAAATGTGGAGAAAGGCAATCCCTGAGGACAGGGATTCTGCTATTCCTCCTGAAGGACTGCTCTTCCTCACCTAATTCAGGGTTTTTGGTGCTGCCACATAAAGGAGTTCTCTAGCAGGCTCAGCCTGTGTCAACTTGCTCCTTCCAGCCCTGAGTTCTCTTGTCAGCTTGGATGTGAGAACTTCTCTGCTCACAGTAGTTTTACTACTGCTTTTATTTGTGCCAGGAAAGAATTTTTGATATTTCAGCTCCCTGTCCTCCTTCCCAACAAATACATATACTGTCTTAAAAGGAAAAAAAATGTTGAGAGAAAAAGCAACATTTTACTCCTCAAATGAATCCTAGACAACAAAGATCAGGAAAAATGCTGACATGTGAAAAAAAAAAAAAAAAAAAAGAAGAAAAAGCTCTTCTCTGACCCTTTTAGCATGTCAGGAATTCACCTTGTTCAATGTGGCATGTCTTCCCAATTAGGGATCAGGGCACCAAAGTGGGAGAAATAACATGGAAAGCTGGATTATTCTTAGGACCTTGCTCAGCTGCTGCAGCCACTGGGTAGAGAACATCCTTACAGCAGCTGCAATGTTTTCCATTACCTCCTGGAGCCAGTAACAGGAGCTGGGCATGAGAACTCTGGATTAATAGCAAAATCTTCTGCTGGAGTTGAGGATTGCAGGAAAATCAGGACAGGGGATTTTTCCAAGTATCACAGTGGTTTTTGTCAAGATGGTCTTTGGAGTCCAGAGTTAGTACTGATGCATATCCAGGATGACTTAAAACAGGTCTGGCTATTTTGATCTTGTCTCTCTTATGACTTCCAAAACATTGGGGTTTGGATTGCAAACATATGCTACTGCCACCCTGAGCCCCTGTGTAAAACTATATATATTAATCCCTGAACTACTTCAGCTAATAAGCTCCAAATCCTTAAACTGCAATTCAAGTCTGAAAACATCAGTCCAGTTCCAGTGTTCTCCTACTTCCAGCTGTGGGACCCAGTTGCAGGGAGATCAATGAGAACCTAAGCATAAATACATGTCTGTAACACAGGAAGTGTTTATAAGAAGGTCACTGGTTCTCTCTAAAATGCTTCTGCCTTTGGGCTCTGATCAAAGCTGCTTTTGCAGAATGTTATGAGAAACATTTAAAGAAAAAAAATTAAAGAGAAAACAAAAAAAATCCTTCTTTATTTTAGATGAGAGACATTCTTTCTCTGGTAAAGGTGCTTCCTGGCCAAGGGTAACCCAGAACAATTTCCTGAGTTAAAGGCTTCCACATTTGGCCACATGCATTTTGCTTTAGAAATGCAGCAACAGCCAATCCTGGTGAAAGCCCCACTGACATGAGTGCCACTGCCTGCTTTAAGTGGAAACTCTCTTTTTTTAAAGACTGAAGAGCATGTGGGTGGGCAGGATGGAGAAGGGTGGAGAGGTTTAGTCCCTGGCTGTCATTCTTTAGGCGTGACCACAATGCTGCAATCTCTGGAACGCAGCTGGACAGAAAGGATGAGGAATGCCCCTGCCTCCCCTGGGGAAACCAGTCTGATGATGCCAGGAGCTGTGATTTGTCTCTGCAGGAATGTTGCCACCTGCAGCAATTAAATCTCTGCTATAATTTGATTTAAACAAGAGGATATTTCCCCCCAGAAACTGCCAGATCATTGTTTCCTCCAAATGCCTCTGACAAGAAAATGAATGCAGTGAGGAGTGCTCAGAATGGGGCACTGCAGCTGTCCTGGGAGCAAGAGAGGGATGCAGAGCTTGACAAAATTAGGTGAGCCTGACAACTCCATCGCCAGTTTCCCCAGATAAATCCATTGACAAGTGTTAAAGGAGCTGAAACTGTGTCTGATCTCTGGGTTATCATCCACTTTCTCTGCCTTGGTGGACAGAAACCAAAGTGCATCTGTAAAACCACTGCTGGATGCATTTTGTTATTCCACATACCACGAGCAGACTTTCCAACAAAATCCAATGGCTTTAGTTACATATCAGAAGACAAAAGAACCACTTGTAGCCATAGATTCATTTTCCCAAGACTTTTGTAAAGCCTTTTAAAGCTTCTTTAGGATCTCCCTCAAAACAAAGCCCTTATGTCAACAGAAACTCTTGCTTAGATATGCTTCATCTGTTCCTTTTTATGAATATGCACAATCAAAGGGTGACAGCTTTCACAGTTAAGCAAACACAGTTACACAGAGCACACTTCTCCCACAAAAGGTCAGATAATACAACATGCTAAATGTTAAATACACACTGGAGGGATGTGTTCCCCTTGAGCACACTGCAATGGGGAGTTATTTAGGAATATATTGTCCATCTTTTCAGGACAACCTGCAAAGTGTCTTTGCAAAGATCTTACCTGTTCAGTGATGAAGGAGCTTGAAAAAGTGACAGCTGACCAAAAGAAGATGCCACAGCTGAGAATGATCTTTCTGTTGAAGCGGTCACCAAGGTAACCAAAGATCGGCGCCGCGACCATGAAACTACAGATAAAAACTGAAAGGAGAGAAAAAGGGAAGAAACATTTAATAAACATCAGACCAAGAACAGGAAGACTAATTTTCTGCAAGCCAAACCCTCTAGAGAACAGTCCCAAATAATTAGACACTCTGCAGCCCTGCCTTGCAGAGTTGTGCAGGCCAATAGGCTTTCTGATGTCAGTGCTTCCTTAGTCAAACAGATTCTTCATTCTCAGAGAAACTCTGGCCATGGAACTCATATTACTTGAAAGCACCAGCCCCTCACAGTCAGCTGAGCTCAGATCTAGGGATGGGCAAAACCAGGACAGAATAAATTAAGAGCTTCTGCTAAATGTTACTGAGAAGGTGGAGGTTGGAAGGAGTTTCAAGCAAACAGAAAACAAGGGAAGGGCTCCTGTTGGCTCTTGCAGCAGAGACCTGAGAGAAATGGGCCACAGAAGCTGAGGTTCTTTCACCCTTCCTATTTAAATAAAATTATGAAACAGTGAGGAAAACCAGTAAACACCACTATCATCCTACTGACACCAGCCCTGTCTCCTCACTAGGTCCTTTCACCATCACTAAACTTGTATTTAAACCCATCACTGAGTAGCAGCCTCACTAGAACAAAGAGTTTTAACCTACAAAGTCCAAACAGGCCAGGATTGTCCTCATCTGAAAGACTTCAAGTTGACCCTTGGTTCCCTCCAAACCCCCAAAGCATTAACCTAAGAGCTCCTGTCCTGTAGGAATGAGGCTCCTGACAGAGAAACTTCTGCAAAATCACCTCAATTCAGAGTTCATTCCTCTGCCCATCTCAGAACAACCTGGCCCGTGAACCCCCTGAGAACACCTGAAAAGGGGCACACACAACATGTTCCTTATTAATTTGGATTTTGGCAAAAATTGCCATGTTTTAAGCTGATCTTTACCTGGCTTTTGTCTGTCCACATTAGAGAATTGGATAAGGGCAATTACATGGATTTATTGGTGTGTAGTATGAACTCTGACTATAACTGGCTGTCTGGGATTCAGCAAGTCCAAAAGGATTTGGGTAGGACACCAGAACACCCTGAGGTCTCTCTTTGGTCACACAGTCCTGACACTCATTTGTTATCAGGCAGTCTTGGAGGGCACTGTGGGCTTTTGGCACAGCCTAACCCCAGCTGTCTACTCTTCATTGTATAAAATGGGGTGGGGGGATAGAATAGATTAAAAAAAAACCAAAAAAGACAAGAGCAGAGCACACACCCTCTTGTGGGTGGAATTTGCATATAAAATTAAAATGGTTAAGACCCAAATAATGAATTTTTCACAGATGATGATATAAGATAGTTCAAAAATGTGCAGAATGCTGAACTATGACTAAATGTCTTTTTTTAGTATAGTAAGATGTCAAAGCTGCTTTATAAATAATACACACTCATTTGCATCTGTGTTTTGTGATCTATGTGAGTGTGTATGTATTTTGCACTGTGATATTTGATCTTAATTTCAGGATTACTCTTTTTACATTTAGAGTAAACTAAATCAAGATAATAGAGAAATGTTAAGGCCTGAAATGCAGCACATGCAACATATCACACATTCTTCACTAGTAATTTTAAGAACAGTTTTGCTGTTTAACTCACACATAAACCCTACAGATAGAACTCAGTCCCTGCATCTATCCCAAAATCCTTGTGCAAACAAAACCTACCAGTAGAACTCCAAGCAGTGTTTTCATCTCTGTTTTACAGAGAAGCTAGACCAGCAGCAGCTCACAAATCTCTGCTCAGCAAGGGCACATCTGCACTGGCCCCACTCCAACAAGGCACTTAAGCACATGCTTGTAGGAGGTACTTGAGAGTCATCAATTCCATGATTAAGTGCTTTCCTGAATTAACACCAAGGGCTTGGCACCTTGCAGGGCTGGTGCAACAACCTGGCATGAAGGATACGTGGCTGTTCATTGGGAATGAGAAGCAGAAAATGACTGTGACTCGTCCAGACCAGTGTGAGCACTGCCATTTGATCTTTCTCTTGGAAGGACACTACAATTCATTCAGCTCTGAATCCCATTTTCTGCCATTTTTACGATGTAAAAAGACACAAAACTGAAAAAGCTTCCAAGGGAACGTTAGAAACATCCAAGTCAGCATCCCACCATTTCAAATATCAAATAAATATGGTTAATTCGACTTTGAGACAAGCAGGGTGTCATTCAAAACTCATATTAATCAGTGGGGTTATTAGCTTCAATGAAATGAAGCTAATCATAAATGACAAGTCTAATTCTGGAATCTGGGCAAAATGGACAAAGCCACTCTTTCAAATTAAACAAACCAAAAAAAAAAGATTGTCCAATGACTTTCCAACAGTATACATCCTTCTGCTGCTCAAATCCCTTTGGGGGATTTATTTTTTGAAGACTCTGAGCTGTGAGCTTTGTCAGTGGCAAGCAGCTGACTTGACAGCTCCACAAGGTGTAAAATGAAAGGACAACAGAGCCAAATAAATAACAGGTAATAGAACACAGCTGTCACAAGAATAAATGCAATTTATATCAGAGTATTTATGACCCAAATATGCATCAGAGCATTGATTGACTCAAATAAATGCAGGGTATGATGGCTGTGTGGTCTGTCAAAAGGATTTTCCTGTTAGAGGCATTTCCCATGAATCAATTTTTGCAATGACTCCTGCCAGTGACAGCCGAGACTCCTGCACCCAGCCTGGGCTGGCAGAACTGAGGTGAGCAAAAGTGGGGCACATCCCCAGATGGGATGGAAACCTGAGGTACTCTGCAACAGGAGGTTCTGGGACAACAAAACACCACAAAGGAGAGACCTCATCCACGAGACACAAACCTGCAGCACGTTCAGTGGGAGAAGGGGCAGCAGAAATGTTCAAAAAAAGTTCACAATTCCCTCAATAATACACAAGATGCAGTGCTTGGAAATATCAGTACTGATAATTCCCCCCCCCCTTTTCCTGACTGCAGAAACAAGATTCTTCCAAGGGTTAGCCCCTATGTTCCCAGCAAAGGATATCCTGAAGTTTGCTTTGTTCACCTTAACTGAACAGGTAGGCAAGAGCATAAGGCACTAGGCATAAAATGCACTCCAGCAAAGGATCCTGGCACTTGTGCCAGCCTCTTCCTCTCTGGCTTCTCTCCCTTCTTCCACAGCATTTTCTGTTCCTTGCACTCCCCCACTCCCAAATTAATAAAACTGAAGTGACACCACAGCAGCTGCTGCTTCAGCTCAACCACAGCCACAAATCTTTTCTATTAGGGCAGCAGTGGGACAGAGGTTGGCATTGCACTTTCCTCTTCCCAATCAACAGCTCCTCTTCCCATTTTCACTTAGAGACATCCTAGAATATTACAGCTCTTGAAGAGACATAGAGTGCAAGTCAGGGCAGAGTCAGAAACCCACTGGGATTTCAGATGAGCTACTGTGAAGGCAGTGATGGCACTGGAGCAGCTGTGGGCAGGTATAGCTCTGGCAGTCCCATTATGGATGTGTACAGCTCATTTCTCCTGGTAAATGATCTCCAGCAGTGCCAGCAAAAGTGGCTCAGTCCCAGCACAGGGTGGAGCTGAGATACATTTCTGGAGGAGTAAATTATTATGTGAGCAAGGGCTGAATAAACAGACACACAGTGAATGCCATCAAGGAGGGAGGTTCTTTTAAGTACAGGTATTTTCAAAAGGAGAACCCATTTGTCTTTATTCCTCCCTTTGTGGCTTAGCCACTGAAACACTGCCTGTGGTGAGAAGGCAGGAAGAGTGTAATTGCCCAAACAGGATGGCTTGGTGTCTATTTCTGCCTCTGGATGCCTGTCCCACCCTGTACAGGTGCACAAGCACTTTCTCAGCCAGCACTGCCCAGCTTTTTCTGTGCATGGCTGGAATTACAACAATGTGCAGCATAAAAAGCCTTACATGTCCCACCCAAACACCCACCAGACAAGGAAATCATCCTCCCAAGCCTCTATTGCTGCTCCATGTGCTGCAGCCTCAGTCCTATTTCAGGATTATGGCCAGGGAGCTGCTATTCAGACACACTTTCCCCTCTAAAGAGCTGCCTGTGTACCCAGGGGAAAAGTAAATCCAACAGTGGAAGCAAAGGAGATGAGAGAAGAGGAAGGAACTGTATATAAACTTTATATTTAACAGTCACAAAAAGCTCCTGCCTCCTGGAACTAGACACCATCACTTTTATTTTTCTCTTCTTTCTCTCCAAACAAAAACTTTACCAGCTTGACATTACAGCTGTTCCCTGGAAAGGCTCTGACCTGCCCAGCTCTCCACCCTGTGATTCCAAAGACACTTGCCTCCATCTCTTCTCTTTAGTGGACTTTTGTTTAGTGGACTTATCAACCCAGAGATAACCTCAGAGAAGAGCTTCTCCTGCCAGCAGGTCATCCACAGAGTAGAATCAAGAAGGAAGAGAAGCAGTGACAGAGGCACACACAGGAGCTGCTGTTCCTCAGTTCCTGGAAGGTTGAGCAGATCACAGGCACCTCTGAAAAAAGGTCCCTTCTTTTGGTTTTGACTCTAAGCACACAGGGATTATTTTTTCCTATCAGGAATAATGCTGGAAAGGTCCAGGGTCAGGTGAAAATAGCTTTCTCTACACAAGGATGCTCAACAAAAAAACCCTAGTGGGTATCTTTGAGCTTTGAGTCAGCAGAAATCGTGTGTACACTCTAATTGAGTGCTGACACTGAGCTTGGCTCTGTGGAGGGCAAACCCAGACAGCCTCTGCCTCAAGGGACTGGCATCCACTGAGACACTGCTGAGAACTATGTGCTGAGAGGCTGATAACATCTTCCCAACAACAAATTTCCAAACAATGAGAACACCTAAACAGGCAGCTTGCCCTGGATGGGATGCTTCATGGGTGTGTACAAGTACAACCCTGGGATTTGGTCAAGCCACTTCTACCCCAGGGACTTTCAGTCATGAGTGCACGTGTTTCCCAAGGTGCTTGTAACACCAGTTACCATCTACCTGCAATGGGGAATAAAACTCTCCAACATCCCAACCAG